GGGGGCGGCCGGTGCGCGGGAGCCGCGGTCGCCTGGGCGCGTCCGGCCGGGAAGTGTTAATAGTATGAAGCAAATAACACAAAACGCTCATCAAATAAATACCCAGCTGCTCGGCTCTACCACGTAATTGCACGTTGCACAATTCTCTCAGCCCTCCTCCCTTCCTCTCCCATCCCGATTACCGGATTTCAAAGACAACCATCAAGAACTAACCTCAATGCTTATAGTTATGTATCTATTTGTGGAGGGTGATGCAAACCGCCTGAGATCGGTTTCAGATCACTAAGCCTGTTGCATTTATCCTCCAGAGTCTTAGAGCAGCTTATAAACGTATCAGCAATGTCTTCCAATTATAATTATTACTTCCTTTTACCCAGAAGTGAGGAGGTAGAGATTCATTGTTCTGAATAAAAAATGAGTTCTCATTAAGATGTGAGATGCTGTGTTTTTTAAGTATTAAAACGTCTTAAAGCTGCTTGAACAGAAATATTTTACAGGACAGATTAAAATGAGTTACATTGGGAGCGCTTACTGGAAACCATACCCAACACCAAAAGGTGCCACTGAGATTTATAAAAAAAGGATTATGTTGCCTTGCTTTGTTTTTTGTTTCTCTTTTGCTATCGTTATCCTCATCCAGTTAACATTACTGCGGTTAATTAGAGAGACGTGTCTGGCTTATTGGCTTCCAGGAGACATAGTGGCACTGAAGGTCAGAAAGAAATGCTATTCTCACTGAGGCAACACACCTCACTTGCGTTAGCTCAACCAGTTGTGATTGAACAGCTCAGTCTTTCTGCACATCGTATCAGGTTTCACATCAGAGTTGAAACATTTCTCTCCCTCTGCCCTGTAAGTGAAACTGTGCTTATCAATGTACTGCCTCGACACACCTGTCTTCCTCTTTGTCCCAGCTGCTCTTTTGCATAAAGACTTTTTCCCTTCTTCCAAGTTAATCTTTTTCTCAAGAAGGTTCTCACAAATCAAATCAGAATACTCAAATTATATTTACAAAACATGGGACCATAATTAGAAACATCTTTTAATTTATACTAAACAATGATACAAAATTAGTGAAGTGGTGAAAATCCACTGTCTCACTCAAACAATTAAAAAAAACCCATAAATATTAATCTTGACTCTCCGATCACTAAGCCTTCCAACAGCGTCAGTCAGAAGAATTTTCTCCCTCTCTATCTTAGTAGTTTACAAAAAAAGAAGCCACATCTACGCTTCTGCTAAAAAACAGAAACATGTTGAAGATTCCCAAATCAGGGAGAGGGACGTGGAAGAAACAAATACAGGAGCCGCTGAGAAAGGACATTTCAGGTTCTCTGGTTCTCACCATACAGGAGTCTTTACCAATATTATACATGCAGCAAAGCAAAAGGACTAAACCGATTTCCAGGTTGAACGCATCTGTGTATGACACCAAGCTGGAGTACTCTTCATCCGCAACTCCCCTTACTCAGCCTGCGAGTGGCTGGATTGGTCCAGCGGGCCAAGAAACAACCGAAGTTCTCAGACTTTTCTGTTCAGATAAAGGGGCTGAACGTTAGCCTTAATATTGGAAGCTGCGTTTGGTCTGAATATCGTCGAGAATCTGCTGTAACTCCTCATCTTCAAATCGGCCCTCCAGGCTGCGAGATAAGACCAATGAGGGCACATTAAAGGTTTTAGAAATAGTCCTTCCCCTCCCCGAAATTAATTTCAAACACCTGTAATTTCCTCCTGTAAGTCTCCACGCCATCATTACCCACCTTTATGGTGCCCACGAGGCACCCTCTGTAACATTACTGAACAGATATCGCTCTAAGCCCTATATCGTGCCTCCTCTCTAAATTAGCAAACGCTATCTTTTCCATAACGTTTTGCTGAACAATTTCAAATCATTTTATCAAAAAGGCAAGGCAGGTGAAGGTTTAAACAAATCTCTGAATGAAGTCCATGTAGCCTTACACTCATAAACCAGTCCAGCTGACTATGAAATCTTAGCTTACATGGGAGGAAACAATAATTCAGATTAATGTTTCACTTCTTCCTGTAGCTCAGGCTATAAGCTAGAAAAACAAGACAGGAGAATGGAAGAAGTCGCTGTCTGACTTGTACATTATCCACAGAACAGTCCACGGGAGCACTGTGTCGTTCGCTTCAAGGAAATAAAAAAATATCCGGGTAGGCTAAAAACCTCCACTAAAATTGTTTACGCTTAGTCCAGTCGGCATTTATCTTCACTATATTAGGGACACTTAAAAGATTACCCCTCCAACAGATCAACGGGGAGGTGAATACAGATGGGGACAACGAGTTGGTTGTTCCATTGACACAGATGGACCGAAGAGAAGGTATCTGTCCATAGCTAGCCTTACACCACAGCAAACTATAAGGCGGTCTCTTCAGCCTATCTAAACGCTCACCTAGGAATCAAAGCTTTGGCTTCTTCAGCTGTCTCAGGACACAGGTTAGCCAAACATGCTAATTCAAATTTATGGAGCTTTTTCTGGAGCAGCAAACTGTAGGTAAAGACAACAAGGTGGTGAAATTACAGGTAAGATTAAAAATAAAAAAGATAAAAGGGCATAACTGAACATAGAAAAAATATCACAGCCATTAACCCCAATTCCACAGAATTATTCTCCATGTAGTCCAGAAAATATTTTCATTTATTCCAATCTGCTGTCATTTAAATACTGATATCAAAGCCACTCAGAAGGCCTGACCTTAGACCAAGTAAAACTCTCTACAAAGATCGAGTTTCTTGCCTCTCCAGAAAAACAAGATATAGAAGTCCAAATCAGAAAACACCACTAAACTGTACTTTCATAAAGCAGCACCAACATAACGTATCAAAGTCCCCAGTATAATCCTGTATCCTAACTCCTCCACTCACCTGCGAACACTGGCAATGGTTTCACGGTTTTTGAAGCGGCTGAAGCGGGCTGTGTAATTCAAAGTTTTCATGAACACTTCTGAGAGCTCCTGCTCATCTTCTGCACTTTCATTCTGTTGCTTCCGATGCTCCAGAAGCATATGTACTTCTGAATTCAGAAGAGTTTCCGCAGTTTCAAATTCTTCACGTGAATGAGTGAACACCAGCAGAAAATAAGAAAAAGCATGGATGAAAATGTCCATTTATAGAAGTTTTGTATGCAAATCTAGTTTTGGACAGTAAGAAAACGAACAATGTGTTTCACTGTAATTGAGCAAGGCCTTTGCATCAATAATTGGACTGTATTTCATAATGAATATGTAGATAAAAATTACAGCATTTTGCGTGATGTTTGTCTTTCTGGCCGCATGTTTTACATTCACAGTCATAACCACCGGATTTGTACGGTTTTGCAACGTGTTCTCTTCACTCATTTCTTGGTAGAACTTAAGCAACGTATTACTTGCTTTAGGAAAAAATATTTAGAACATGCAGAAAAATCAGAAGTGGCATTTATGGTCTCGGAAGGCCTCCATGCAGTTCTTAATTAAACATGGATGCTGCTGAACATTTTTCAAAAAGGTTTCATTTCCTTGAAATCCTAATTGACCCACTGAAATTCTGTATTAACAGAAAAAAGTTTTAACCTATCTTAACAGATTTTTTCCCCCTTTTTAGTAGCTCAGCTCTCCTTAGTTTGGCTCATCATCATCATAATCATCAGTATATTTATTCCAACAGTAAGATCTTTTATTACGTTGCTGTCCATCAGCAATACGAGCTGTTCAAAGCAGCAGGATCGGGGATGGCATTGCAGAGTGCCTTCTCAAGGCTTTTTTTTTTTTTTTTTTTGGAAAAAACGACCAGGTCCAAGAAAGAAATGGCCCTCTTTTTTTTTTTTTTTTTTTTGCGCAGGGTGGGAATGTCACAGGCCAGTCATGGGTAGGATGTAGCTTTTAGTGGGAAAATACACAAAATAAAAGTCCGCCAGGACTACCCTTTTCTTCCTAACTCAGATAAGCAGCGTATCTGCAATTTTTCCTCTTCCAGGACACGTCCGAGGAGCAAACACAGCTCCAGGATAGTTTTCTCAAAAAAATTACACAGACTGTGAAAAGATCATTAGTTACAATTCAAGCTCTACACAGGAGATTTCCAAAGTAAAACAATCTCTTTACGTCAAGACACATTAAAGACAAACTGACAGTCACACCAAAAATCAAGGACCTTTTAACTACAACCCAAAACAGAGAAGCATCTTTTACTCTCGCATACATGTTCAATGAGGCACGTAAATAAGAAAAACGTTATCCTAGCCATGCTAGCTCCCACAAATATGTATATTTTACCTCAGGTTCTGTAAATACATATTTATTTATCCCTGCTTCTTAACGTTTGGTTTGGGGCTATGCAACAAGAAGTGGGGAAATCTGGAGGCTGAGCAGAGCTGGGGCTAATCAGCGAGCTCCAGCCCCCGTCGCAGGGATCC